ATTCTCGAGAGAGATCTGTCTCGGATCCGTCGGCCATCTTAACTACGTATATACAATGACGCGTGTGAGATCAAGAGAAACTACAATAAACGGGTTGGAATGATTCTAAGGTGGCGGGTTCACGTGGGAAATCGATGTTCGAAACAACCACATAACACGAACAACCACAAAACATCGGAAAAACCTTTTCACTAAATTCATGCTCGAGATACAGTGTATAATAACTGTTAACTTTCGTACTACCAAAGCGTCTACTGTTTTAACACGTTCGCATAGAACTGTTCGTTAAATCGAAAAGATCGAATACAATTAAAATAACGAAAATCGACCGATTAGTTAACCCTTTACGTGTTGTATTTCATTTTGAAAATGTGCAATTGTGTGCTTCATTATTTTTAATCTACGAAGAGTATACTCTACCAAAGCAGATTATAAATGAATTTACTACTGCATATTTCTTCTTCTCAAGTGATTTTATTTCTTCATACGTTTTATTGTCCTAAAATATTTTAAATTGTGTTAAAATTACGAATATGTTTTCTGTTTTACATAAATTTTACTTTAAACAGCAAATGCAATTTAAAAAAAATTACATCTTTTCATGACGAGTATACTCGACACAATCGTCGAAAGGGTTAACTGAACGGAGAAAACCTCGAATTCAGTAGCACAAACAATACGGTTCCCTCGCGATTTTTTTCGCGAACGTGTTAATTTTCGTACGAATTTTTCCAAGGGACCCACGGAACCGGATGTAACGGTTGATCCCCGTGAATGATCAAGCCGTACGTCCATGGCTCAAGCATTGAAACCCCGCGGTGAAATTCATTCGACCAAGCCATTCCAAGGGGGGTCAGATGGGGATGGTGTCTACGAAACGTTGGAGAATTCCAACGAGTCACTGGTTCCCTCTCCTTGGTCAGGTTTTCCGGTGAGAAGCGAACGGCAGCCCGCGGGCGAGAACTAAGGGAACTTGGAAGCTGGCTACGTTCTCGATTAAGTCGCTGCTGGCAGAACTAATTTTCCAGGGTTGGGGTAGGGGGGTGGCGAATCTGCCGGCACTCGTGGGGGTGGGGCTGGTGAATTCACGGAGCAACTCTCTAAACTAGCTAAAGAACTCTTTCTAAAATACTCTCGGTCCGGGTCTGCGGAGTGCTCACCAATTTCGATCTTTGTCCTCGTAGCGCGCCTGAACTTGGAATCGTCGCGTTCAAGAGGGATGGAATGGGGTGGGGGGATGGGGAAGTTTCACCCTGGTGAACAATCTTCATTCTCATCGCTGGGATTGTCGTGTCGATGGAAAATGAGAGCCCAGTTACTTTAGATTGTTACACGCGATACTCGTGATCTACGCTTTGTATAGTTTGTCCCACAAAAGCTTTGCAGCGTCTGTGTAGCGTTTTTATCGAAATGAGCAGGGATTTATGAAACAAAAAGAAGAAATTTAATACACAAAACAGATAATTTATATAACTAGTGAAAATGATGTCTGTGTTACTGGACTATATCATGCTTTAAAAGTTATCATGCCTGGGACTAAAATTCGGAAATAAAAATGTCAATCAGAGACAAGTTTCATAAGCAAAACCATGACAACTGTAACTCAATGAAGTTAGTATACAGAGTGGAACAGCGAAAGGGTTAAGAAATGATCGAACGTAGCAATTTCTTTTAAACGAACAATCCTCCTGTTTTCTTCTAGACAAACCCACTTCCTCCCTAAGCAAATATTAAACACTCCAATAAATATTATATAAAGAAGAAAAATGAAGTACTACGGGCCACATGCATTACACTGTCTCAAAGAGCACTCTCGAAGAGTACGAGCAAAACAGAAGAATAAAACGAAGAGAAGTTGAAGGAACGGTGAAACTGGCGTGGAATAAAAAAACAATAGGATCGATCGTCCAAGTAAAGAGCTAAAAAAATTCTGTTTCTTCACCGAGGATCAGTGCCAAGCAAGAGGAACAAGGCCTGCGAGAATTCGTTGCGTTGACTATCGGTGAGCACTCCTGACCAGCGTTCAAACGTAAAATCGAGGAGTTGTACATATATACGAAAGGCGGGATAACAAGATAAATTGGATTGAATTACATATGTGTGTGTGTGAATCAAAACAAAAATAGAGAACAGACAAACAACGGGCGAAGAAATTGCGGACCGTTAAAATTCCTACCTCCAGGACGGGCGCTTTAGCCTGAAACACAAACGGCAACACCTGAAAAGAAGTTCCGGCCGTGGACACGCCACGGGAGTCGTTTTTTTCATTTTACGAATTTTCTTTTCGTGATTTCGTTCCGGAAAATCGATCTCTCGTGATTCTCGGGGTCTGATACAGAGCGTGATACGATGATTGTGGTGGGGCGAGCATGTGAGGCGAGGAAAGATGGAGAAAATCAGGCGACAAAATGCAACACGATGCTGCCCATGGTCTCGCGACGCTGGAAATTGGGGACCATGGTCTGGAGGTCAAGGGACGTTTTCTGAGACCCAATATTAATTTATAATTTCCATTGAACAATGGATAACAGAGAATATATTGAAAAATGTACATACTTTTTTTGTAACACCAAAACAACCGTCAATTATATCTATTGCTACCAGATCGTGAAGAAGCGACAGTTTTAAGAGACTGTATACAGATTTATTAAGAGAATTAATTTCTGTTTTGAGAAGTGGTGTTATTCAGGCGTGAATAGCGACGGAGGGGTAGGATTTTTTAGCTTCTCTTTAAGTCGGAAAACGTCCCTTGTTAGAATGGTGCAGAGTGACGCTCGGTTTTTCGGTAGAAATCGATCGCTGGGTCTAATCTCTTAACACGTTCAAACCCCTTTCGAAACACGATGTTTCACTTTGGTAAATGGCACTTCTCCAGAATTCGTCTTCAAAATATTCTACTTGAGATACAGAAAAGGCCGAAAGACTTATCGGCGCTTCAATAAACGTACGTTGGAACAAACAACACTGACAATGATAACGGTCGGACTGAAATTTCTTATATAACGTTACTAAACTTGTGTTATTCGCAGAACTAATTTCGACACTTCTGCAGAAAATCTGATCAACATCTGACCCGTTTGTTTAAAGTGATAACAGTCTACTTTCTCTTATATTGCCTAGAATTGAATTGAATCGAATAGAATTTGTGTTCATTAATTCATAATTAATAAACTAATTTTCTTCAAAACTGGACCGTTCTAAAAAAGGCGGCTCAATTACTCGATTTCCATGTATCAGAAGGAATTTTATAGAATCTCCGTAAATGGTTCAACTGAAATTTGGCAGACTTCCCCAGGAAAATGATTTCGTTTCCGAAATACATGTGAATCGAACGGTTTGAACGTGTTAATGGGGACAAGGGGAAATTCGAGAATAGGAATCGTTTCTCGTAGAATCGAGAGGATCGCGATCATTTGCGAACTGACACATCCGTATCCTTCTCTCCCTCATTCAAGGAAAATATTCGTTTATTGAAACGCGAAAGGAGTCTTGTAATTCGTTCTGTGTCGAATTTTGTTTTCTGGTATTTCAGTCGGATTTTCGTATAACAGCCTCAATGTCGCTATGCTTTCAAATACGGCGGAACAGTTCGCAAAATGGAACGCGTTCGTTTCTGTTTTCGAAATTAATTTTCATTCCGTCCTCGACTGGACCGAGCCGACCCGATCTGTCGAGGGAAATTCAAAAACGATAGCTGTCGTCGACCATTTCCTGTGCTTGTGTTCTTCCGACTTTTTTTTATCTATTTTCACAATCCCTCGCCTAACTTTCACATCTGGAACATTCCATTTTTCCGTGAAAACAGTGTGTAGTTCCCGTGTTTACTGAACCACGTTGTCACCAGGACAACAGTATTTTTCACGTGGTTTTATTAACGAAAACGTTCCAGATGATACAAGGTAGGTGATTGTGTTAAAAATTTAGTTAAAAATTACAATTCTTCTTGAAACAAGATAGGAAAAAAGTTAAAATTTGTTCAAGGCAGTGTAATTCTAATAAATTCATTATCTTGTCGTTTCTTTCTGTCTTTGAATACCTCGACAATATTCGCGAAAGAGAGAATTGTCGAACGGCGATGGAAAAACGCACAGGAAACGGGGTTCGTGACAGAGGAATAATTGTGAGAGAAGAGATAGATAGATAGAGAGAATCAGTCGGTGAAAAAACGGGCGAGAGCGACGGTAGATGAAAGAACGCGGAGAAAACACGAGACATAGGAATGGTGTAATTGTTATCAGTTTCTCTGCGTTTTCCACGCGTGTGCAAGCCTGGCAAAAACGTGTCAACTAACGTCAGCTGTTGCTTGAGGCCATTCCAGCTAAACGGGTCCGGAACAGTTGTAGACTTTAGTCAATATTTCTGTGCCTTTTTTCCTCTCTGTTCTAATATTCTTTTTTTTTATGCTTTTCTTTAATCATCTTATAAACGCCTCGTGCTCTGTTCGCCGTTCGGCCGATGTCGTTTGACGGTTCCGAATCGCGCGTGTATCGATCGAACGTCAGCCATTTAGGACGGGATAATTAATTTTGTATCTTTATCTTTTATTAAAAGAAAGTTAATTTAAAATCTTTGGTGAATTTTATTATCGGATTACTCGCGATCGAATAGTAATCTTTCAACAGAATCGAATGCAATGTGGATCAGAGATCGATTTTTAACGAACATATATAATTCGATTTTTTTTTTCGAGTCACACAGGGACGTCTATCCGTGCAATTTTCTCTTCACGAGATCGAGAGAAATCGATAGATGGGGAAGGGGACGGTGGCGATCAAGTGGGTTCGTTTGCCAATTAATTCCCGATAATCTATCCGGCATCGTCTGAAAGGTGATCGATTAACCACGCTGACGTTTCAATCAGGCCCCCGAGGCGTTGCGCTCGATTTAATTAAAAACTCATTCGTCGGCGCTCGCGCCACCCCCCGAACGGAAACAGAGCACGAGGGACCAATTTCCGACGTGGAAAATTCGACGATAACACGTCGTTCTGTGCCTCTCACCTGCAGCCTGTAGTTGGGATCCTGTGTCGCTGCGTGCGCTGCTAGGAACGGGTCGTAATAAACACTGCAAAAATAAAAAATCACAAGTTAATGACCCGTCGTTAAAGATCCACTTTCGAATTCCTTCCAAGTTTCATTTTTTTCCGCGATCGGAATTCTTGCATTTTCAATTTCACCTTTTTTTATGTGTTCCCTTCAAATGAGCATTCGAGGTTGTGATTTTACTAGTAAAAATTTGTAAGAAAATTCTTTTTTTAAGAGAGAAAAAAGAGTAAATGTTATTTATGACTCGATTCAAATGGAATACAATATTTATTCCGTTTTTCAAACATATTTTTTACTTGGAATGAAATATTATACATTTCTACCGGCTACTTATGTTTTCAGGATTATTTTATGAAAAAAATTAAATGGTCCCTCGGGGACTTCGATGCCTGAACGGGGTAGGTTGGTCGAGCTTCCGCTCTTGCTTCCACGAAATAGTGTCCGATAATTTCAATGAAATCCAAGGCTTTCTTGACAAAAAGGAACACGTTTCTCATGTTTCCGCGGGAATGGGAAGTCGGGCAAAGATCGAATCAAGAGTTCAAAAAAGATCACGGAACCCCAGTGAGTGAAACTCGCCGTCATATTTGTAATGGAACTCGATCGTTGCCCTTCCTTCTATTCTTCTCGATGTTCGGTCGTCCCTGGATAACTCGATTTCAGGTTCGACCGACCAATAACACAGCATCGAAGGGTTCTCTTGAACTTTCTGATCACCGTCAATGGACAATTGTTCTCACGACTCGATGAATATTATTCCTTCGATCGATCAAATTCCGAAGCTGGAAACGAAGTCGAGCCTCGAGAAACTGTTTCCATCAAGATGAATCTCGATGAATACAGCGTAAAAATGATCTTCGTTTACGATTTTGTTAACACAACATCGAACTCTATTCTAATTCGTTAAAATACGAAATTTTCTTTTTCATCTCGAGGAACGACATTGGGTCTTGTTTGGGGCGTAAGTACGGTTCTGGAGCTTCTCGTCCGTCATTGTCACCAGTCGGTTTTCTTTATTCGTTGCTCGTTATCTGGCCTTTTCCAGTGAAGTCAACAAAAATTCATAAATCACAGGGCAGCCGTCTCTGGAAAACGCGTCACAATGATTGGTGAACAGAACCGGGGATCTAGCGTTCGTACGCTCTGAATGGGAAAACGGACGATTCTGACGTGTCACGTATCATCGGGCCAGTGAATCATTGCAGCTTGCAACGTTACTTCTATATTCGTAAGTAATAAAACTCCGCCGCCACCCCCTGGACCGATGATAAAACGACACCGTGAAATATTGATGACACTGTTATTTCCTGCACGCCCTTTCATCCCTCTCCCGGAATTGTCAAACTAACGACGCGTTGAAATGCATTTTGTATCTACGCGTGTCGATATAGAAGACCCCGTACATTTTTACAAGCTTCACAAACTCTCGATCATTGCGATACTCATCTCTGAAATTTCAAATTTCTTTGAGATTTTTTAAAAAGGAACGTATTTATTAAAATGGCAGGAATTTATTTATTTATTTATCACATAGATGTCTTTCTGTGTGTCAAAATCATGGTTTTAGAAATGACGCCCTCGAACCAATGAATTTTGCAGAGATCAGGGGTCTTGTCTCGCGTGGACGGACCGTGTGTGCGCCTTGGACATCGTGTGGCGATTAATGGTACTAATACGACGTCGTTATATAAATAAATATACTAATAATAATAATAATAATAATAATAATAATAATCGCCACACTGATCTCTACAAAATTTATTGGTTTCAGGTCGTCATTTCTGGCGACAATGGTCGAAATCAACGTCAGAAAACGTCATAATCTTACGGTTCTAACCCTCGTTCCACGATCCTCTTTTACATCCTGTGAGGTTCACCGATCATAAATAACGCGTTCTCCTCGTAAACGAAGGATTTTATCGATTCGTAGAGAAAATCCTGTCTACGTGGACAACGTAAGCGAGGAAGATACTAGCTAATTAGGTTTGTGTGTCTTCTCTGGAAAGAAACAATCGTGCTCGTTCAGATGCACGGGTGCATGCTGGTGCAGTGATTTCGACAAAGGCAAGCTAACGAGCGGGCGCAAACGTGTATCAGAGAGGGGAACAGGTCACTCGACGCGCAGCGACTGGGTTTCGATGACACTCGATAATTCCCGACAAATTGATGGAATTTTTCGTCGGCTGTGTCGATCGGAGTGAAACTTGATCTTGCTCGTGGAACACGTGGAGTGCGAATATTTCCGGTGGAACAGCGGAATTACCGATAATAAATTAGAATTCAATAAATGTAACCGAGGTTAGTGTGTAATTGAAATGAGAACCTCTGCGAATTTGTCGGATTTGTATTCGGTTTGGCTTGTTCCGTGTTCGATGCAATTGATCATTGAGATAATTAAGTGTGACATTTTAGATGACGTTGACTGTTCAAGGACGTTTTAACGATTATCTCCACACTATTCAACTGGTTCGTATCCGGTGAAAAGTCACACTGTTTCCCAGATAACAATACACACCACCAAAATTCGGAACCGTGGCTTCACCCACGTCCTTGAACATCCAACTCCATCCATTCCAATCACGTTTAAAAAGTTCCACGATTTCCAGTCTGTCTCCCAGCCATTCGTCGTCGAGTGATCCGCCGCTCTCGAAGATTAAAATTCACATATCGAGCATTAAGATACATCGCCTAGAAAGACAGAAGCGTCCGCAAGAAGACGTTCCCTATTTCGGGGATCTACTCACGCAGGTGCGAAGGGATGCAGGGCCGTGGCCGCGGCTGCAGCTGCGAGCGGATTCGGATTCCTCGCGAGGGCAAGGGCGGCCGCGCTGGTCGGGAAGGCCGCCCTAGCGGCGCTCACTCGGCCCCTCTGGATGGCGACTCCTCTCAGCGCCGCGGCTGCAACAACACACAAAAACGCACATGCCAATGCGGGCCTACCTTCTCATGGTGCACGGTGAGTGTGGATAATTGGTCCCCGGCCAGGGGCCGTTTCGCTGGTGACGGTCCTCTGGGTGCGGCGGCGACGATGGCGATGCGTTTATAATTGTCGACGGCGACGAGACTAGGATTATCGCGGTCATGATCAGCCGAGATCGAGACGAGGGGGAATTTTGGTCTGGATTAAATCGGTGCGGATCGAGCGTCAGGGGACTGTACCTGACGTGTTATTGATTTAGATGAAAAATAGGATGGCCTTCACATTTCGTTGATCTGTGACTTTCAACGTACACCCACACACTCGCAGAATAACTTTGGTGTTGAATGTGAGACACTTGGCTGTCCTAGAAAGTACCATTCGCACCTTTGGTCATTTTACTCCCTAGTATGCCTGTTTTGTGGATCAGACGCGTGGAATGGCTCTGGTCCATAACTCACAACTTTTTGGGGTATCCTGACAATATTCAAGTAGTAAACGAAATGGGTGACGATGATTTAAGACGGGACACATTTCGACGATGAAAATTTGTCTTGCACTCAAAACATTCTGGGCACATCCTACCAACGTTCCCTTTCGTGTAGTTTGGCTAGTTCATCGTTCACTCCAGTAACAAGACACGAAATTTATCCCTAACCAGCTACTATCAATATGTCCATCTACGGTTTCAGGCAGTTGGACGAGAGCAAAGATCATCCTACTGCTAGAAGCTTCTCCAATCGCAACAAACGTCGAGAACCTCCACCAGAAGCTACCTTCAACTCGGTCCTGTAGCATCGATTCTCGAATGGGACGATGCTGGAGGATCGAAATGTCTAAGACGATATTTCCGTTCATGCCCGATCGAAAATGGTTCCGCAGAGCGGGTCGCAGTAAAAAGGGGATGCGATCTAGCCCCGAGGAGACGGCGGAAAACGCTCATGTCAGACGACAGAATCTTGGATACTATTTCACCGATGAGGAACGATTGGAATTGGAGGTTCTGCAATCGGGGGCATCGACCCCTGTAACGGAGATATCCGATGGGCCGTCCGCGACATCGTCGAGGGAAACGCGTCCGCGGTCGTTCGTCCTCGCGATGGCCCCGAGACCGATCATAAAGACCGGCGAACGTTCCGACAGGAAGGAGAAAACGTTCACGGTCAGGTTCGTGATTTCGGACACAGAACGTATACCCAGAAGACAGTCAGAAGAAAATAGGTGGGGCTTGAAGAAATGCACGAAGATATGCGACTCTGCTCTGTGCAGGCTGATCGTCTGCATGGTATTCGGTATTCTGTTGCCCTGCTCGCTGGTCTACCTGGGAGTGTTGTATTTTTACGACAGCAAATGGAGGAGGAGACGACGCGAGTGTAAAAACACGACAACGTGCTGACAACGTCGACATAGCGAAGGAAACTCTGTTTAGGGATTTTCTTCCAGCGATCGAAGATTTTGTATCTTTCATCAGGTCATTCGTTTATCGAATCATAACACACAGACTAATGGATGGACACCAAGCGACTCGATCATCGACGCGCTCCTCGTGAAAGAAAGGAGAGCTTTCGACCTCGAAGAACTCTGGACGAGGTATATATGTACATATATTTCGTGGGTGTGGTTTCAGCAGCTGTTCGAGCAACAATTATGAGATATTTCCACTTCGACGGTGAATGGGGAAGAGCACGGTTCCGGATACGAGTATCGACGGACCGTTCTCGATCTAATCGGAGAGCAATAAAAACAGAATGTTCTGCCTACCTTTTGTTTCTCTGCGCCGTTGCCTGGGGGATCGAACCCCTCGGATCGTTTAACACAGCGTGTGCATACACACGCGTGAATCCCACCGTTCGAGCGTCTGTCTCGAAGAGATCAACGAACCTACGATTATTCGCACTGCACCCTGTTCCTCGTTTCTAGAGGACAATAATTTAATAGATTCGTGGCCGAAATAGTCGCGACTGAAGAAACGAAAATGAAAAAAAAAAAAAAAAAAAAAAAAAAAAAAGTTTTTTAAATTTTTAGTCTACGCTCGAGTCTCTTCGGGAAACAGACGATCCGGTGGATTGATTAGTAGGCACGACATGGATAGAATGTTAGGCTGGCAAAACACTTTGGTACAACGAGCAGCAGCAGCAGCAACAACAATCAACAATCAAGGGTAGCAGTCAACTACCGTGCACAAGTGTCGCACGTGTGGATGTTCAAACGATCCGTCGTCGTATGCACAAAACTCGGGCGGGGTGCGTCATGGAACAAGACTAAGAGGCGTGTGGATGCATTTTATAGCAGGCGCATTCCATAAAAACAGGGTGTGGTGGGGTCTTACGGGGGTGTTGAACGTTGTACGAAAGAAAAAAAAAGAAATCGGCACGCGATTACGGGTCGATCTGTGGTCGAGTATGTCGTTAAATCTGAGCTGTGTCGCTGTAGTTTAAAGGAATTCGTTTAAATACTAATTGAAGCGTCTGGTTGTGATCTGATCGTTGGAAGAAACGTGAAATTATACATGGTGGTCTGGTATCTGGTGATTACTTATTATTATTATTACCGTCGGAATAAAAAGTATAAAAATAAATTGTTTGGCAGCTTTAATTCATTTACGCGCCGTACCTAATACAGTTAACCATCATCGAATGATAGATCCACGACAAAACGATAAAAACTCTTCGAGAATAACCGTTCGATGCTCGAATAACACGTGACCAATTGACCGTGTGTTACTGGAGGAAGGGGAATTGCCTATAATAAGAAATTTCCCTCTTGTCTCGATTTTCCGAGCGAACAAACACAGCCCGAGGAACTGATTTCACGTTGTAACAAGAAAGGAATCTAGGGATGGGCCGTGTTTCGACCACAGATCGATAATCGTCGCGCGAACGTCGCCCTAAATGGCGTGTGTCTCTGGCTAATTACGTGAAAAAGAAATAAAAAGAACAGGAACATCCGGTGATACGTGCCTCAGAGAGAGAGAAAAGGGTGTGAGAGTGCGACGTGTAAGGGAGACGGTGTATATCACACAGAGAGAAAGAGATAGAGAGAGAGAAAGAGAGAAATAGAGGAGAAAACAAAAGAAGTCAGTACTCGACGAGCTAGCTAGCTAGTAACAATGCAACCACATTTCGAGGCTGGTGTTTCTGATGTGTATGTGTGTGTTCTCTTCCGGTTTTCCCCGAGGTTTATTCCCACCCTTAAGGATCGAGGATCCCTTCGACGCTGCGTGTACGAGACGGTCCTCGTCAAGGGAAACAGACACGTCAATTTTATGTCGTGTGACGTGGGAGGATAAGATTACTACGAAGAGAGGGAACGAGGGTCGATTGTGTGTGTGGAACAAGGGGATCGAAAGAAATCATGGAGAATGGGGGTTGGTTCGAGAGATTGCCTCTTTAATTGCAGACCATGGCGACGGTTACTCTGCCAAAAATTCTGGACAGTTCACTGAACCACGGCCAAATCGTTTCGCGAGATCGAGAATGGTGAAAAGAGAAATCTCCTTTCGTTCGATCGAGGGAGGATGGAGGGCGTTCGGTTACGGCGTAATTCGAGGAAAATCCTTTTAATTAATTCGTTGTAATCGCGCGGGGCTAATCTGTCACGCTAATTAAGTCGACTAGCTGAAAAGCTGACTAATCTGTCGGCTGAACGCTCTCGTGGCGAAAGGGTAGGATTCTTTGCGAAAGTGGATCAAGAGGGGTGGGGACGGAAAGTTTCATTTTCAGGGATTCGACTCGATTCTCGAGGCAATCTCTTAATTTCACTGGGGTTTCTGGTGGAATGTTCTGTGTACGTGTGTCGAGAGACGGAATGTCATTTCGGTGGAAACTGGGGCCATCGAGAGGAGGCTTCTTATTTCGACACTTGATCCGTGTCAGTAGACTGCGGATACTTATGCAAAGTCACAATGCATAAACATCCGAAGTTCCCTTATCGGAGACCACCAATTTCTCTCGATACCAAAAGAAAATTCAAGTGTACCTGATTCGTGAAACGGGGTGTGGAAGGGAGTGGTGTGGAGTGGCCGGGATATTGTCGTGCTGGTTTCGTTTTAATCTCGCGTCAAAATTCCGACTGGATTATGAGTGAAGTGTGCATGTGTCTCTGTACCTTCGTCTCGCCGCCGCCCTAGGTGCAAGGACGAGCGGTGCAGCTGCAGGGGATGGTGTCACCGCGGCCGCGGCGACCGCTGCAGCTGCAGCTGCCGATGGCGCCGCCGCTCCCAGCCAGCTCCACGGCATGGCCGGCAACCTGTATCCTGTTTTTGTCAGAAAACTGTTAGTTCGTTGCGTCCGCCCCCCCCCCCGAGGACAACGGACGATAATTGTCGTACGTCCCGTCCGATCAACCACCTATTCGCACGCCGTGGATCTCTTTACCTTGTCGTCTTCGTGGTCGAACAATCGTCATCCAACCCTGAACAACCATTCGTGTGTTTAACAGGTTCGCCGCCCATCGTATTATCATCGTACCATTATGGACCCAATTCCTGATAAGTTTAGTATATTGACACCATGTCATAAATTTATTATGGTAGTCTAGATTTCTTTAGAAAAAATTTCTATATAATTATTAACCACTTTGAAATTTGTAGCGAACGTGTTAAGACCGTCAAGGTAATTTCCTGTCTCCTAATTAATGAAGAATTTTTCGATTAATCGAAAATTAGTAAAACAAGTATTAGTTAAGAATCTGAGTAATCGGTGTCGGAATCATATATAGTTCTTCACGATATTCCGAGTTCTTATCGTAATTTATCCAAGGCTGTTCGATCCACGGCGCCGATTAGGGGTTGATTCAAATGGCCAGGGTGTCGCACAGGAATTCGCTCTCGTGACGAGCGAATTCTTAACCGTGACGTGAAACATTTATCAGCAGATCCTGACGGATCTAGAAGCTGATTACTTCTCGACAAAAAACAAAAAAAAATGGCGATCGTGTCTAGTCTGATTTGGAACTGTGTCGATTCTGGCGTGTTTGATGT